TCCTTTCCTGAGGATATTGCTAATCCTTATTTGGCGGAAAGGCCAACATTGGTGCCAAAACTGTGCAAATCTCATGGGAACAGAGGCAAAAGTACTAGGTGAATTAAGGTAGTCAAGATATTGAAATTATTTTTGTCAAGGAATAGTTCTGGTAGCGTGAGTGCTGCTTCAAACTTATTGCTACAATAATCAAAAATCGGAATGTCTTGTTTAAGAGGCATCTGTAGTTTAAGTTAGCTTGCTGTGAAGCATGGCCCTTACCCTTTCAGTTTTGGAAGAAAATGTGCATCTCGATGGAGTTTCTAACTTTAAACAAAACCATTCTGTGTCAAATTAAGTTGCGTTTATTTCAATTTAATTTTATTGTTGTTGTTGTATGTCTTTGTTTCCAATTCATGGCACTCGTAAGGTAACTTTATCACAAGGCTTTCTAGGGCTAAGAATATATGGCTTGTCCAGAATCTCTTTCATGGATGAGCAGAGATGCAAACCTTGGTTCTCAGTGCCACAAATCAACATTCAAGTACCATATATACTTGAGTATAAGCTGAATTTATCAGCCCTTTTTTTAGGATGAAAAAGCCCCCCTCAGCTTATACTCAAGTCAAAGTCATTTATTATTTTAATCTGCTATTATTGTTGTTGTTTATTGTTGTTATTACATTTATTATTTTACTATTATTATTATTATATTTACATTATTTTACTCTATTATTTTATTACATTTATTGTTTTACTCTATTTATTATTATTACATTTATTATTTTAATCTAGTTAATATTAGGTAAAGGTAAAGATTTTCCCTTGATGTTAAGTTCAGCCATGTCCAACTCTGAGGGATTGGTGCTCATCTCCATTTCTATGCTGAAGAGCCAGTGTTTTCCGTAGGCACCTCCAAGGTCATGTAGCCAGCATGAGTGCACAGAGCACCGTTACCTTCCTGTAGAAGTGGTATCCCTTTATCTACTCACACTTGCATGTTTTTGAACTGCTATGTTGGCAGAAGCTGGGGCTAACAGCAGGAGCTCACGCTGCTCTCCATATTTGAACCTGTGATCTTTCGGTCAGCAAATTCAGCAGCTCAGCGCTTTAACCCATTGCACCACTGGGGGCTCTTATTATTACATTTATTATTCTACTCTATTTATTATTATTACATTTATTATTTTACTCTATTTATTATTATTAATATCATCACCATCATTTCATTTACATTATTTTACTCACTTATTATTTTTATTGCATTTATTATTTTATTCTATTATTATTGGAAGGATGATAAGTAAGCACATTCTAGCTGACAGAATGCACACTGATCAGATATAAAAACAGAGCTTCAGTAACGTATAAAATTGCAGTTAATAAAAAACACAACTAGAATCCCATGTGCAATTACAGCAGAGTCTCGCTTATCTGACCTTCGCTTATCCGACATTCCGTCTTATCCGACGTCCCCTTTTTCCTCCAGCATTTCCCCTTCAATTCAAGGAGCGTCCCCAACTCTCTCTCCATTCTCAGTAAGTGAAAAAGGCAAGAAAAGGAGGAGGAGGAAGGAGGAAAGGGGGAAAAGAGGCAGGACCGGAAGCAGAAGTGTCCTCCCTTCTCTCTGTGATTTCTACACTCCTCTTCCATATCAGGGCACTTCCTGCTGGGCTGCTATAGCCCCAGAGGGAGGAAAGGGGGGAGGGGGGGAGACAGGACCGGAAGCGTCCTCCCTTCTTCTCTGATTTCCACACTCCTCTTCCATATCCGGGCACTTTGTGCTGGGCTGCTCTAGCCCCGAGGCATTGCCTTGCCTTAATCCTTTGAGTCCCTGTTGTTAGTATTTTAGGTGTCTAGCACTGCATTGCATGGGTAACAATAGAAGACTCCGTATTATCTGACATTTTCATTTATCCGACATTCTGCCGGCCTATTTTTGTCGGATAAGTGAGACTCTACAGTGCTCTGTTTCTATGATGTTTTGCAAACGGATTCCAACTGATTAATGATGGAATGGGACAAACATCATGTGATAGGATCCATTTGGAACCATGCTCAAGGAATCTTAGAAAAGGAGTATAAATGTGATAAAGTCCTAATTCTTCATCTGAGAATAATAATTTCCTCTCCTGAAAATGCAAATCCCAGCATTTCAAAGAATGTTGTCATGGCATTTAAAGTGGAACCATAGTGCATAGTGCATAAAAAAGTAAAGTGTGATCATACCGTATTATCAGCAAAAACTATTACCGGCAGTTCAGTTTGGAATCGGCATCTTGATTAGATACGCAAATTACAAAAGAAGTCCTCTAATCCAACATCTTGTTTATCACAGCAGAGAACCAGATGCTTTTAGAAACACATATAAGCATGGCATGGAGATGATGCAATGACCATCTTAACTCCACTCTTGACCTTGAGATAGATACACAGATTTAAATGGTCTGAGCACTTTAACTTCCATGGCTCTATTCTATAGAATCCTGTGATTTGTAGTTTGAAAAAGCACTAGCACTCTTTGGTTGATGACTTAGCAAACTACAAATCCCAGGAATCCATGGGGTGGAGATACTACACTTAATGTAGTGTCACATTGCTATAATACTGTAGTGTAGACATTTCCTAACTTTTGCAGCTGTGCATTGCAAGGTTTAAAGGCTGTATACAAAATGTCCCAACATTTGATGGACCATGGAAAAGTTTTACATTCCATGATACTATAATGATTTATTTGTTGAGTTTTAGCTATATACAATGGCACATTCCTAAACTGCAATAAACTGTGTGCATGCTTGTGTGATTGATTTAAAGCATGGATTTACATTTCAGTGTCATGAGTATGCCATAGAAAGATTCACTGCCCATAAATTCAATGTGTTCTTTTAAGACAGTGAAAGCCATCATATCTCGTGACACTGAATTCCATAGAAGTTAATTATTTGTGGAGAGAAGAACTGTTTGCTTTTGCCCCATGTTTACAAACAGCTGAGTGAGACTTCGGGAATCTGGCAGCAGAACATTAAAAAACAGCAACATGCATTTTTCTCCCACCCTACTTTCCAAAGAACATAAACCATTCATTCTCGTCTCCCCTTTTTGTTTCAAAACTTAGAAAAGTGAATTTTGGGGCTTTACCCTCTGGCTAAGCGTTTCTCAACCTGGGTGCTGCAAGAGGGTGTCACAGGGGCCGCTAAGGACCATCAGAAAAAAAGTATTTTCTATTGGTCATGAGGGTTTTGTGTGGGAAGTTTCGCTGGTGGGGTTCAGAATGCTTTTTGATTGTAGGTCAACTTTTTTTTTGTCATGTCAGGAGCGACCTGAGAAACTGCAAGTTCCTTCTGGTGTGAGAGAATTGGCCGTCTGCAAGGACGTTGCCCAGGGGAGGCCCGGATGATTTGATGTTTTATCACCCTTGTGGGAGGCTTCTCTCATGTCCCCGAATGAGGAGCTGGAGCTGATAGAGGGAGCTCATCCACCTCTCCCCAGATTCAAACCTGCGACCTGTCGGTCTTCAGTCCTGCCGGCACAGGGGTTTAACCCACTGCACCACTGGGGCTCAACTATAAATCCCAGCAACTACAACTCCCAAATGTATTTTCCCCAAACTCCACCTGTGTTCACATTTGGGCATACTGAGTATTCTTACCAAGTTTGGTCCAGATCAACCATTGTTTGGGTCCATAGTGCTCTATGAATGTAGGTGAACCACAACTCCAAAACTCAAAGTCAATGCCCACCAAATCTTTCCAGTATTTTCTGTTGGACATAGGAGTTCTGCATTCTAAGTTTGGTTCAATTCCATCATTGGTGGAGTTCGGAATGCTCTTTGATTGTAGGTGAACTAGTAACTACAACTCCCAAATGGCATAATCAACCCCCCCCCCCCAACCCCACCAGTATTCAAATTTGGATGAATCGGGTATTTGTGCCAAATTTGGTCCAGTGAATGAAAATACATCCTGCATATCAGATATTTACATTACGATTCGTAACAGTAGCAAAGTTACATTTATGAAGTAGCAATGAAAATAAGGTTGTGGTTGGGGGTCACCACAACATGAGGAATTGTATTAAGGGGTCACGGCATTGGGAAAGTTAAGAACCACTGCTCCAGTTAGTCCACAGTGCTCTATGYATGTAGGTGAACCACAACTCCAAAACTCAAAGTCAATGTGCACCAAATCTCTCCAGTATTTTCTGTRGGTCATAGGAGTTCTGCGTTCTAAGTTTGGTTCAATTCCAACATTGGTGGAGTTTGGAATGCTCTTTGATTGTAGTYAATTATAAATCCCAGCAACTACAACTCCAAAATGACATAATAAACCCCCCCAACTGCACCAGTATTCAAATTTGGATGTATTGGGTATTTGTGCCAAATTTGGTCCAGTGAATGAAAATACATCTTGCATATCAGATATTTACATTACAATTCGTAACAGTAGCAAAATTACAGTTATGAAGTAGCAACGAAAATAATGTTATGGTTGGGGATCACCACAACATGAGGAACTGTATTAAGGGGTCACGGCATTAGGAAGGTTGAGAACCACTGGTATAGCTAGCAAAGCTAAAAACTTGGCATATTCTGGAGTTACAGTCTTGAAAACGTATTTCTTTCTAGCTCTATGTTCAAGATGGGGTGGTAAGCATGTATGGTCTTAAACAAACAAATAATAAAGCCCTACACTGAACCACATATAATTGCAGAAGAAAATAACACATTTGAACTATCTTATATCTCACCACCACTAGCACACCAAGAATGCATTTGCATTGTAGAATTGCTCCAGTTTGACATCACTTTAACTCTGCCTCAATGCAACAGCATTGAGCCATGGTATTGTATCGTATCATCAATGAATTATTACTATATCAGAGTCCTGCATTTCCAAGGAAATTCTATCTTTCAGCCATGAAGATCTCAAGCAGTTGGCCATTCACAGGGAAGAACCAAAATCCACCTTCCTAATACAATTGTGTGATGACTGGCAAGCTAAAAACAGTGAATCGTGGTGTACCTTGCTGTCCAGCTTCTTCATGGTGACCAGATCAAGGGATTTCAGAGAGTGACCAGTGGGTGCGATGAAGTACAAGCACGCATGGATCCGGGAGTCATGATAATTAAACAGGGAGCGCTTGATCTTCAGCTCCTCCTGAAGGTAGGCTTCAAACTGGGCATCGATGTACTCCACAATGGGCTTGTAACTGAAACACAAGAAAGCCAATTCAGATCAAGTAGCCACTGCCATAGTTTGCAGGATTTTACTTATGGTAATAAGCCATTATGTCAATCTGAGTCAGAGGTGTGTATGATTGATTTTAAAAATGGTTCAAAAGTCATTACACAACTGAGTGCCGCTGCTACTTTGTTTCTAAAGTGTTTCTAAAGAATAGTTTGTGAAAAATGTGTTACTATAACAAGAGTAATGAAATGTTGTTGCCATTTTGTTACAGTAATTGCTCATGTGCATCATTAAATTACTATAATTGGGGAAACTTCACAGGCTTTTTTCTCCCTAATTTTTACAACTATTGGTGTGAAACTTACTACAATGGTAGAACACATTTACCACCGCTGGCCTACCAAATTTCAGAACATTTCACTTATCCACGGATTTTTGGGGAATTTTCAAAGTTTTTATAAACAATATTTTTTTTCAAACTATCTATTTGAATTTTATATGCAATGCACAAGATAACCAGAGCATCAATTCCAAGAAGTTTCAGAAAGATTCACACATCTACAGATTTTTGGGAATTTTACTGGTGCTCCTTACAGGGAGAGGTCAACCCTCCTGTTTAAGGAGCTCCATTGGCTACCGTTCATTTTCCAGTCCCAATTCAAGATGCAGGTGCTTACCTACAAAGTCCTAAATGGTTTGGGACCCTCCTACCTACGTGACCGCATCTCCGTATATGAACCCACACGATCTCTCCAATCATCTGGAGAGGCCCTGCTCACGATCCCACCTGCGTCGCAAGCGTGACTGGTGGGGGACGAGGGACAGGGCGTTCTCCGTGGTGGCCCCCCGATTCTGGCACTCTCTCCCCAAGGACATCAGACAAGCCCTAACATTGGCAGTCTTTAGGAAGAGCTTGAAGACGTGGTTGTTCCAGTGTGCCTTCCCAGAATAGGAAACTCAAAGCATCATGTCCCAAATGCACTTTACTAGAGATTTAAGATTGTCTGCACATTCGCACCTATCTCCAAAAACCTATCTATTTCACCTGTCATTTTTTAAAATGTTTAATCATTACATTTGGCCTGGCCTTAGTTTTAAATGCGTTGTGGTGTTATTGTCTAATGTTTATCGCTTTTGTTTTAATGTTTATCGTTTGT